CGCAGCCGGGACAGGCGGGTTTCCCTGCATAGCCGGCGTCTGTGCGTCGCTCGGCTGTCCCGGGTAGGCGGCGCGGTTGTCGGCTCAGGCTCGTTGCCGAGCACCGGCTGCCCAGCAAGGTTGCGCATGGCGGTGTGATTTGGCCATAGTCCCGCCGCCTGGAGACCCCGTCCTGGCGGAGGAAGAGCCTGGCCGCGCATGGCGATGGCCCTTTCCAGGGCCTCGCGCCATCTCCCTCGGGAGTACCGCACATGCCTCTGCACGTCCTCAGGATGCACACTGTCAATAAGGGTCAAGGCTGCCAACACTAACTCCGAGTCGTCGCAGGCGTCAGTGTCCTGCAGCATCATGATGCCAACTCCGATGCTTTCTTGACTCTCGGGATATGCGATGGTTAATACCTCGTGCATCCTCATGAGGGTTTGCAGTAGTGTGCGTGGTCCGTACTCGCCTGGAGCAAGCGAACCAGGGGGTACAAATGGGTCCCCTGGCACGCCTGCAACGAAAGCTTGAACGAACGCTTGAGACTCCATTTCTATAAGTTCAGCATGATTTCGGGGATAGGTAGGCCTGTTTCCAGGCGGGAGTTCGGGTGGAGGTTGGAGGTTGCGGTCAACCTCTGAAGGCGAGGCCTCAACAGTGATGTCCTCGTCACTGCTTTCGTAGGCCATGATGTTGCCTGGGTTCCCGAACATCCAGTCGAAGAAAGATAAAGGCTGGTTTCCCAGCGTTCCGTGTTCCACGGGAGTGAGCTCGTTGTTGCCAACAACGAATTTGCGGACGTACTCGAGATAGTACGCGTACAATCCATGACCATACGCCTCGAGCTCGTCGACGTTGTCCATGCAACTGACCCAAGTGTAAAATATCTGTTCCATGGCCTCAAAATCCTGGAGGCTCAGATATTCGATGAATGGTTCACTTGAGCCAAAATGGACTTCGGTCGATCTGCCCTTTCCGCTTCCCTTCGCTGGACAATCTCTCACAAGATGGTCGGTGCTATCACACTCATGGCACTTTAGAACCTGGCCGTCTCTACCTCGCGGGTTTCCCCGCCTACCTTTGCCTTTTTTTTCCTGAGGTCTCTCTACGGCCTTTGCCACGGCCCTTTCCCCCGAAGAATATCTCATCATACTGTTCATCTGAGAGCCTCTGGAGGAATGCCGTGATGCCTCGTCCATTCAACCTCCGACGACCTCGTTTGCCTTTACCTTTTCCCTTGACGCTCCTCCGTATCCCCCTCCTAACACGTCGCACTGGTTTTCGTGTGAACCTCCTCCACCTCCGTTTAGCCTGTTGTAACAACCAAAACAAGTGTTCAGCACGCTGATTGTCATTTTCCATATTCATAATATCTGACCAGTCTAAGGCTTCAACACCGTCGGATGATACAGTATCTGTGTCGGTGCCGGAGTCGAAATCATCGTCTCCCAAGTAGGTGGATACGCCGTCGGTGAGGGGGTTTGATTCGCCCCATAAAGAGCGGTGTGGTTGAGGTTCTCTGGAAGGAGGGCTGGTTGCCCAGCTTGGTTGTGGTCGATCCCCTGCTAATAGAGCAGTAGATTCTCCGGGATCATCGGCCCATATGCTTGAGGGCCCGTTTCCAGGCTGGGCTTCAGTGGTTAAGGTAGTGTAGAAATTCCCACTACCAGATCCCCTTCCCCTTTCCAAACACAGATCCTATATTACCAGGAGATCGTTCTGATAGGTGCCCTATCGAACGCACCCTCTCCAGCAACTCATCGTACTTTTGTCGTGTTCGGGGCATTTGATGATTGAGTGGCTGTAAGAGTTGCATGGCTCGCTGGTTGCTGACGCCTAAGGCGCGGAACAGGATCGTGGTTAGTAATTGGAAGTTGGGAAGGTCGAATCCCACCGGCTGTGCCTCAAGTCGGGCCATTTCGAATCGGGTAAGAGTGACGTCGATTCGTTCTCCGTGAGGCCCATGGAAGTCGATGAGCTGTGTGCCGGAAGTGAGCTGGCGCTCATCTTCCAGGCGCTCGAACTTCATGCTTAGGAGGAACATGATGTAGGTCACTGGGTCGGTGTGGACCCCATCAGCACCATAGTTTATCATGTCAGGTGGTACCCTCATGGCGAGTGTCCTCGCTAGGCCACCCAGGCCGCGTTGTATGGCGGCCGCTTGGGCCTGTGGCGTCATGCGTCCGCTTGTAACGTTGAGCCACGCGTTGACCTCATAAACCTACTCACGGAAAGGTACGTTGCCTTGAGGGTCCCAGTATGGGCCATGTGTTTGCCCATCGGTGCTGTTTTCTCCGCGGCGCATGTGTCCGATTGCTGCCCCCAGCGCGAACCATATGATGGCGAAGATAACCAGCCCAAGGCTGTGTAGATAGGGGTGGTTATTAGGCGCGTTGCCGCGCTGGGGTAGCGCCTTGTCGAGTCGTCGAGGCGCTCTATCTGGCGGATCCTTCCGCCCCTGCTTCAAGTGCTGCGCTTTTGGCTCGTTGCCGAGCGGTTGGTAGTAGCGCAATGATGAAGCGTATATGGTACCAATGTTGTTGTCTAGACGTCGTACCTCTCGTGTTGCTTCTTGCTCTTGGATAGATCCTCGTGAACGTACTGGGAGTGGTGGCGCAGGGTTGTATGTGGTCACGAGGATCGTGCCGAAGTGTATGAGGATGAGAAGAGCAAGAGCTGACCACGCGAGAGTGCGGCCAGCTCCGCTACCAAGTCGAAAGTGAGCCTGGTAGGTCAAATAGCATCCGTCTCCATGGGAGGCGGATGAGCTCACATTGCATCCAATTCCATGTCGAAGGAATACGATATGGGGAGTGGATGGGTATGATAGGATAAGATCGATGTATCGGTCTTTCCAGCACATAGCGAACACTAAGGTAAGTGTCCGGGCACATAGGGCTCGCGTGCCTTGAGCCAAAGGCAACGGCGCGCGAGCTATACTCCCGATTCTATATAACATCTCCCAAAGAGCTACCCTTAAAGTTCCTGGAGGCCCCAGGAGGCCACGCGAGGCCCCGGGAGTCCTCAGGAGGACACACGAAGCCACAAGAGGCAACAGGAGGGAGGCTCCAGGGGACACTTAAAAGCACCAGGAAGTTTCAAGAGGCCCCAAGAGGCCCCAGGCTCATGCGCAGAGACGCACTAATACGATCGAGACTCACTCACACTCCAACTCATTCACAATTAGATTCACTCCCAGACCGTCAATACTCAAGCCCGCTTCTATTCGAAAGCTCTTGCGCCTAGACACTGACACTCACGGCGGACAGGTCCATGCTAATAGATGCACATTTGGGGAGCTCCAGGCAGTGAAACATTTTGTTTTCGTTTCCCTCGTTTTGTCTTAAGTCCGCCTTTGCTGCAAAACGACATCGAAACGAAAACGGCCCACGAACTCGCCAAAACACGGTCTAGGTCCACCCCTGAAGTCCAGTCCCGAGTCGTGACTGGACGGTCCTAGGTCCGGGCGGGGGCCCCTGGGGGCCGAAAACGACGAATAACCTTCGTCTTGACTTCTTCAGTGCGCCGGGCGCTGGGGTACGAGGAAGAAAAAACTGCACAATCATAAACGTTGGGAGGCCCGCGCAGGTCTCTTGAGCCTGCGCTGACCCCCCCCTCCCTGGCAACGCGGAGCGCGCCAGGGGCGGCGCCGGAGGCGCCGCCATGGCGGCCCAGCGCCGATCCAAGAAACCCGCGCGGAGACCCGAGGAATGATGTTCATGCCGTTTTTTGTTCTTCGAGGGTTGACTTCGCCTTGACCTCTCCAACGCGTCCGATGCCTGGGTGTACGTTCGGGTGCTGCTGGACGTGCCACTGGCCCAAGGTGCCGAAGGACTTCCAAGGTGACGGCCTGCGGAGGACCCCTCACGAGGCCCAGAGGGCTCCATCCAAGGGCTCCAACACCTTTAGCAACCCCCGAACGTCGGCGATGCATCGGCGTCGTTGGCGTCGCGGGCTTTACATCGAGCCGCATCGCCGACGCCTCGGCGGTCTGGCGCGATCCTCCGACGCCATCTGCTCGGACCCCACTTGGGAGGCCAGTAGCCCGCGAGTCCGAAGGGCGTGCTGTGCAAAGGGTGTGGCTGAAGGGGCCTTGGGACACACAAAGAAATACACACAAATAACAGGATTCCCCATATTTTCTCATATTTTCTAAGTTTTTGTCTTCCCCCCCACTTCACATATTTTCCCATATTTTCCTGGAAATCGACGATTCATTGTGTCTGTGTGTGTTTTTCCCCTCCTGAGTGGCTTGCGTCCGGCATCCTGGAGGCACCCTGAAGGGCGGGCGGGGACCTCGATAGAGCCCTCCGCCGCGCCCCGCGGCCCGACGAGGACAGTTTCGTGCCCCCCAGGCCCCGAAAGGCGCCGATCGCAACCCCCCCCCCCCCTGGCGTAACCTCACCCTTGGTAGTCGCCGATGCACCCAACCCGCATGAGAAGGATGCACGATAAAGACGCAAGGGCCTTGGAAGGCCATGTCGACACCCTGCGAGCGGGGCGCGACCAGCGAAAGCGGCCACGGAGGGGCCGAAGGGGGAGGATGCAAGGGTCCCCTTGGGAAGGTCGCCCATCCTTGCAGTGCGGGCTGACTGTACAGGACATCTTGGGCCAATGGCACCTTTAACGACCCCCCTCAGGGATCTTCTGACCCGGGTCAATCCAGACCCGGGTCAGCAGGAAACCAAAAACTGCAATGCAAGAACAAAAACTGCAGCGCAGGTCTTCGCAAAACCCGGGTCAGCCAGCATGCGCGGCCGCCTCGCGGCCACGAGCGGCTCGCTGACCCCGGTCAGCCAGAAGCGGTCTTCGCAGGATCCTGCAGGATCCGGTGCCCTGGCTGACACCCGTTTGCATTGACCCCCGTCTCTCGCCATCGCTCGGACGTCCATTCCCTGTGCATCTTTCGGTTTCGTGCGTGTTTTTTATTCCCGCGGTGAGCAAAATGCTCCTCGATGGTCCTCGCCGAGAAAAAATGCACACGTCCGAGCGATGCCAAGGTCTCGAGGCTCCCGACCCCCGCTGCGTGCGCACTTCCCGGCGCCTGACCTCGGGGGCATCCAGTAGCCGTCGGTCCTCGCGAGCCCGGAGCACGCCGGGCCCCGCAGGCGCACCTCGCCGCGCCGCCGCTCGCCCCGCAGGGCGCGCCGCTGCGCCGCCAGGTCCGCGATACCCTCCTCGAGGTCCTAGGGGCGGAGGGCTCGTGCAGAGCCAGGCCCCCTCGGGTCACGACGATCACTCAAGGCGCTCACAAACAAATACACACAAATAACAGGATTCCCCATATTTTCCAATCTTTTCTGGGTTTCTGTCTTCCCCCCCACTTCCCATATTTTCCAATATTTTCCTGGGAGTCGACGATTCATTGTGTCTGTGTGTTTTTTCCCCTCCTGAATCACGGCGGGGGGTCTTTCGTGATGTTCGGTCGGGGATCTTCCGACCTGGGTCATTCCAGACCTGGGTCGGTCAGGCCCGCAGAATCCTGCAGGCTCCTGCAGGATCCTGCACCTAAGCCCGGGTCAGTGCGAAGGGTCCTGCAGGATCCTGCACCCGAGCCCGGGTCAATGCGACCCTGGCCCTGCAGGGTCCCGCAACATCGGGAGCTCTGGCTGACCCCCGTGTGCATTGACCCCCGTCGCGAGGCTCCCGAGTCGGGCTCGCGGGGCCCCTGCCGGGCCCCGGGGCCGTCAGGAAACGGCTCGGGCTGAGAGACTGGCCCCGGGAAGTGCTCGAGCGGTCGGGGGCCCCGGTCTCGAGCAAGAGTCCCGGCGCTGGACGCCTGGGGTCGTCGTGCTGCCATAAGGCGAGGGCACGGACAAGGTCAGGCCTGCCCCGACCTCGACGACCGTCGTGCTACCATCTATAGAGTGAACACCAAATCCGCCGACCCTGTCGGCGCGTGTGAGGGGTTTCTCCGTTCGACTCGTCGTCTCCGTCGTCTCCGTTCTCCCCCTCCCAGGGCTCTCCTCCTCAAGCGCGCGATCCAACGCGAAATTAAACGACGCCGTAGTGGAGTCGAAGGGAAGCCTCTTCCCTTTGATCCCTTCCCCGCAGGGGGGGGGAAGGGGGGGGGGCCCGGGGCAGATACGACGCCCGTCTGCGCGCACTTTCCTCGAGCGGGCACGCACGGGATGCACTTCCTCCTCCTCCTGGTCCTCCTTTTCCTCCTCCTCCTTTTCCTCCTCCTCCTCCTCCTGCTCCTCTCCTCCTTCTCCTCCTCCTCCTCCTCCTCCTCCGCCTCCCGCAGAGGCGTCCCGGGAGCGGGCCCCGAGTCAAAGTACCACCCCCCTAGGGCGCATTGTCCTCGAGCGGGCACGCCCGAGATGCACTTCTTCCTCTTCCGGGAGCACGTCCCAAGTCAGAATATCACATTCCCGGGGCGCACTTTCTTCGAGCGGGCACACAAAGGACGCACTTCCTCCTCCTCCTCCTCCTCCTCCTCCTCCTCCTCCTCCTGCTCATCCTCCGCTTCCTCCCCCCCCACTCCTAGCCCTTTCGATCACGGTCGGCGGCACCGGCCGTCAGGCCTCTCCAATATTGCTCCCGGGGGCGGTTTTCTGGGCCCTCCAGATTGCCCCAGGAGCGGCCCAAGGAACCTTAAAGGACCTCCGAAAGGGTCCCCGAATCGGAATCACGGCTCAAGAGCGCCGCTCCAAGACGCCCAAGATGGCCCCAAGACAGCCCAAACGCTCCAAGAGGACTCTAAAGAGGGCCCCCCAAAGTACAAATCATTGTGTGTTCCTAGTGTTTTTCCCAACCATCCTGTGGTGTTGGGTCCTCGTTTTGAAGAGACGGTGCCCCGCGTTCCTCTCCTCTCCTCTCCTCTCCTCTCCTCTCTCTCCTATCCTTCTTCCTTCTCCTCTCCTCTCCTCTCCTCTCCTCCTCTCTCTTCACCCACCCGTATCAACGTTTCGTGGGCCCCATAGGATTGCTTACACCGAAGGCCCCAGTGCCCGCGCCCCATGGCGTAACCACACCCATTTCGGCACCTCCCCTCACACGTTTCGTGGCTCCATAGGGAGCTCCTCGAGCCCGTGCGCGCGCCGCATGCGTCACCCACTGCCAATTCGGCACACCCCTCACACGTTTCGTGGCCCCATAGTAGAAGCTCCGCCGAAGGCCCCAGTGCCCGCGCCCGCATGCGTCAGCCACACCCATTTCGGCACACCCCTCACACGCTTCGTGGCTCCATAGGGAGCCCCACCGAAGGCCCCAGTGCCCGCGCCCGCATGCGTCACCCACACCCATTTCGGCACACCCCTCACACGTTTCGTGGCTCCATAGGGAGCTCCACCGAAGGCCCCAGTGCCCGCGCCCGCATGCGTCAGCCACGCCCAATTCGGCACACCCCTCACACGTTTCGTGGCTCCATAGGGAGTCCACCGAAGGCCCCAGTGCCCGCGCCCGCATGCGTCAGCCACACCCATTTCGGCACACCCCTCACACGCTTCGTGGCCGATCTCGTTTTCGTGGCTCCATAGGGAGCTCCACCGAAGGCCCCAGTGGCCGCGGCCGCATGCGTCACCCAAACCCATTTCGGCACACCCCTCACACGTTTCGTGGCTCCATAGGGAGCTCCACCGAAGGCCCCAGTGCCCGCGCCCGCATGCGTCACCCACACCCATTTCGGCACACCCCTCACACGTTTCGTGGCTCCATAGGGAGCTCCTCCGAAGGCCCCAGTGCCCGCGCCCGCATGCGTCACCCACACCCATTTCGGCACACCCCTCACACGTTTCGTGGCTCCATAGGGAGCTCCGCCGAAGGCCCCAGTGCCGCGCCCGCATGCGTCACCCACACCCATTTCGGCACACCCCTCACACGTTTCGTGGCTCCATAGGGAGCTCCACCGATGGCCCCAGTGCCCGCGGCCGCACGCGTCCCCCACACCCATTTCGGCACACCCCTCACACGTTTCGTGGCTCCATAGGGAGCTCCACCGAAGGCCCCAGTGCCCGCGGCCGCATGCGTCCCCCACACCCATTTCGGCACACCCCTCAGACGTTTCGTGGCTCCATAGGGAGCTCCACCGAAGGCCCCAGTGCCCGCGCCCGCATGCGTCACCACACCCATTTCGGCACACCCCTCAGAGACGCAGACTCTGGTACGGAGCTCACGAATTGGCCCCCTCGCCCGCGCCCGCATGCGTCAGCCACACCCATTTGGCCACCACCCCTCACACGTTTCGTGGTTCCAGAGGGAGCTCCACCGGAGGCCCCAGTGCCCGCGCCCGCATGCGTCACCCACACTCATTTCGGCACACCCCTCACACGTTTCGTGGCCCCATAGGGAGCTCCACCGAAGGCCCCAGTGCCCGCGCCCGCATGCGTCACCCACACCCATTTCGGCACACCCCTCACACGTTTCGTGGCTCCATAGGGAGCTCCGCCGAAGGCCCCAGTGCCGCGCCCGCATGCGTCACCCACACCCATTTCGGCACACCCCTCACACGTTTCGTGGCTCCATAGGGAGCTCCACCGAAGGCCCCAGTGCCCGCGCCCGCATGCGTCAGCCACACCCATTTCGGCACACCCCTCACACGTTTCGTGGCTCCATGGGGAGCTCCACCGAAGGCCCCAGTGCCCGCGCCCGCAAGCGCCAGCCACACCCATTTCGTCAACTCCCTCACACGTTTCGTGGCCGCATAGGGAGCTCCACCGAAGGCCCTAGTGGGTGTGCCCGCATGCGTCCCGCACACCCATTTCGGCACACCCCTCGTACGTTTCGTGGCCCCGTAGGGGGCTCCACCGAGAAGATATTCACAATTGCAGTAGTCACGATTGCATATGGTTGGGTCCTTCGCCAGGATATTTGTTATACATTGGATGTTTCAAAAATATTGGATTTTTAGTTTAATACATGATTAATGTATGAGTTTGAATATTCAATCCTTGCATTTAAATCCATGATCCGCACGCGGAGCATGTATAAAAAACGGCACTGTATGTAATTGAGCGCCCCTGAGGGGGCAGACACCGCCGCCCCATCTCTTTACCGGAACCCGGAGGCCTCGTAGACCCGGCAGGCTTCATTGGGCGAGGTGTTCTTGGACGTTTCAGGCGGGCCGTTCTTCCCACAATCCCCCTTCGGGGGGCTCAGGGGGCTCCCAGGCTCCGCAGGCCAGGTAGTCGTTGTGCACTGACTGGCCAGAAGAGCCCGTCTGTCCTTCCCTTGTTATTTGCTTGCTTCACCCATTCCGCTGGCCCGTATTGTGCCATCGCAGGCGTTTGTTTGCGCGTTCGTGGCCTCTCGGAGCCTCTTGGGGTCGTTTGGGGGCCTCCAGGGGGCCTCCAGGGGGCCTACTGGGCTCTGTTGGGGGCCTCTTGGGGCCTCTGGGGGCGGAAGGTTCGAATTGGTGGTTCGTGTTCACCCTCTTGGGGTCCTCGTGGGTGATCTTGGGCGCCTGCGGAGCCGTTTGGGGTCCCTCTTGGATCATTTTAGGGCCCTCTTGGGGGCCTCTCGGGCCGTTTTGGGGAGGTTTTCGGGGGCCTCTGGGGCCATCCTGGAGCGTCGGAAGCCCGAAACTCGAGAACGCGAAAAACAGAATTAGCCTGACGAAGGACCCAACCATGTGCAGGTGTGAATACCGCAGTTGACACTACCAATTTCGGTGGGGCTTCCTATAGGGCCAAGAAACGTGTGAAGGGGATGGGTGTGCGGGACGCATGCGGGCGGCAGCACTGGGGCCTTCGGTGGAGCTCCCTATGGGACCACGAAACGTTTGAGGGGTGTGCCGAAATGGGTGTGGCTGACGCATGCGGGCGCGGGCACTGGGGCCTTCGGTGGAGCTCCCTATGGGGCCACGAAACGTGTGAGGGGTGTGCCGAAATGGGTGTGGTTGACGCATGCGGGCGCGGGCACTGGGGCCTTCGGTGGAGCTCCCTATGGGACCACGAAACGTTTGAGGGGTGTGCCGAAATGGTGTGGCTGACGCTGCGGCGCGGGCATGGGGCCTTCGTGGAGCTTCCCTATGGGGCCACGAAGCGTTTTGAGGGGCGTGCCGAAATGGGTGTCGCTGACTCATGCGGGCGCGGCACTGGGGGCCCTTCGGTGGAGTTCCCCATGGTGCCACGAAGCGTGCGAGGTGTGACGAATTGGGTCTGGCTGATGCTGCGGGCGCGGGCACTGGGGCCTTCGGTGGAGCTCCCTATGGAGCCACGAAACGTGTGAGGGGTGTGCCGAAATGGATGTGGCTGACGCATGCGGTTGCGGGCACTGGGGCCTTCGGTGGAGCTCCCAATGCAGCCACGAAACGTGTGAGAGGTGTGCCGAAATGGGTGTGGCTGACGCATGCGGGCGCGGGCACTGGGGCCTTCGGTGGAGCTCCCCATGGGACCACGAAACGTTTGAGGGGTGTGCCGAAATGGGTGTGGTTGACGCATGCGGGCGCGGGCACTGGGGCCGAGGGGTGTGCCGAAATGGGTGTGCGGGACGCATGCGGGCACACCCACTGGGACCTTCGGTGGAGCTCCCTATGGGGCCACGGAACGCGTGAGGGGCGTGCCGAAAGGGGTGTGGCTGACGCATGCGGGCGCGGGCACTGGGGCCTTCGGTGGAGCTCCCTATGGGGCCACGAAGCGTGTGAGGGGTGTGCCGAAATGGGTGTGGCTGACGCATGCGGGCGCGGGC